TTATGGATTAACAAGATTAAAACATATAAATATATAAATATTGCCCCCCCCCAATTATAAATCTTGTGTGGCCCCTGGAAGCAGCTTGTTTTTTTTTTCATATATATATAGCAATTTTAACAACACTGTTCGTTTTTATATTTTAAAAAACATTTTAGAGCACAAATTTAACGAGCATAAAAGCGTTTCATTTATCTTGAATTTCAACATAATTGCTGCAATGTAATCTGACGTACCCTAGCTGCATTTGGAATGTGTCATTTTGTCACTAAATCTCTTTTGATGTTTTTTCAGTTTTAGGCTAGATAGAAACAAAGATAAATTATATCTCTTTTCCATTTGTGCATGGCATTCAAAAACACCATTCATAATATGGGTTTAATTAAGTTATGTGTTGTGACCCGGAAATACCAGGCGGAAGCGAATTCTTGTTATAAATATTAAAGCCCAGCAAGTGCTTTTAAAGAGTCATTCAATACAAAAATGACGCATATTTATTTAGTAGCGTAACTCTCTGTCTTGAGAGTCAAGACGAAACGTTACGCTACTAAATAAATATTTCTTTTAATACGTCATTTTTGTATTGAATGTCTCTTTTAGAAGCACTTTGCTGGCTAATATTATAACAAAATAAGTTATGTTATTGAATTGTGCTTTTCATCAATCATTTCAAATTTCTAAGTGATGTTATATTAGTCAGATTTCTTTTTTAAAGCATATACTTTTCCTTTTTAAAACAGCCATTTTGTCCTATAAAGTAGAAGCAATATGTTGTCACTCATACCAGATGTATACTACTGTGTTATTTTTCTTTTCTAGATATGCAGTTTTAAGAAAAAACGTGACAATACTTATCTTCGCGTGTTCTACGCCGGTACCCTCCGTATTTACAACTGCGACACGTGTTGCAAGCGATGGTATTTTAAATTCAACGGAAAAGAATGTAATCCTACAATTGAAGGAATCCTCTACATTAGGAAAGGTAGAGGAACACATGATATTCATCGTCATCGTCATATCGAGGGATATTGTGGCAACATCGATATGGGTACTGTTAATGTTGGATTCTATGTCGGTAATTGTCAGGGATATTCCAATGCAGATGCCTACAGTGGATGGCAAACAGTCTCTCGAATTGTGATCCAAGAAGTTCCAGCACCTCAGGCTTAATTCAAACCAAGCTGAATCTGAATTGTTGTTGAATATGCTTTACTTATCATAATTGTTGCTATGATTTTTATAAACATACAGCTCTTTTCTGTGTGGTCTTTTTGTTGTCTATGTCACTATTTTTAGTCTTTATTCTCAAATAGAGTTTGAATAAACAGTACAAATACAAAATTTGTAGAACTTTTTTCGTTTTTTAGTTATCTTTCGGCAAAGATGCGAATAAATCCTGAATTTTGTAAAAAATGTTTTGGTTTTGTAAAAAATGTCGAGAGCTTTAATCCGTGGCATGGGGCTTACTTGTGACGTCATTTAAGGAACACAGACTGACTACCAAAACAACTTACACTGTTTATGCATAAAACACTTAAACAAACACAAAAATGCCAGATCGATGTGTAGTTTTTGGTTGTTCTAACGTAGCCAGTTCGGAGAAAGGCATTTCACTTCATCGCATACCATTTTTTAACGACGAAAGAAGCGAAGCTAAGCGTAGGAGAAAGCGTTGGGTCAACTTTGCGAAAGCTACTCGCGATAAATGGGTCCCTACAAAGAATTCCGCAGTTTGCTCGGAACACTTCACAAAAGATTCGTTTTCTCGGCAATTCGGCTCGCTTTCTGAATCAGAAAGTAATTTTGCACCTCGACTCGTTCGAGACGAATTCGGAATCGTTGCTTAGCCGAGCATTTATCCTCAAAAAGAAGACAATTAACTTACAACAAGAGATCGCAGAATGGTGAGTACAGTACCGCTCGCGTATTTGTTAACATAATTTTGCGTATGATACGCGTATTGTTCTCGTATCATAGGCGTATCATTCTCGTATCATACTCGTATCGTTCTCGTATCTTACATGTATCGTTCTCGTATCATACGCGTATCGTTCTCGTATCATACGCGTATCGTTCTCGTATCATACGCATATCGTTCTTGTATCATACGCGTATCGCTCTCGTATCATACGCGTATCGTTTTCGTATCATACGCGTATCGCTCTCGTATCATACGCGTATCGTTCTCGTATCATACGCATATCGTTCTCGTATCATACGCGTATCGCTCTCGTATCATACGCGTATCGTTTTCGTATCATACGCGTATCGCGTATTTGTTAACATAATTTTGCATATGATACGCGTATTGTTCTCGTATCATACGCGTATCGCTCTCGTATCATAGGCGTATCATTCTCGTATCATACGCGTATCGTTCTCGTATCATACGCGTATGGTTCTCGTATCATACGCGTATCGCTCTCGTTTCATACGCGTATCGCTCTCGTATCGCTCTCGTATCATACGCGTATCGCTCTCGTATCATACGCGTATCGCTCTCGTATCATACGCGTATCGCTCTCGTATCATACGCGTATCGCTCTCGTATCATACGCGTATCGCTCTCGTATCATACGCGTATCGCTCTCGTATCATACGCGTATCGTTCTCGTATCATACGCGTATCGCTCTCGTATCATACGCGTATCGCTCTCGTATCATACGCGTATCGTTCTCGTATCATACGCGTATCGCTCTCGTATCATACGCATTTGATTCGCGTACCGTATGTGAACAAATACGCGAGCGGCACTGTACGTTAAAAATTATACATATGCATATTTAAATTTTACCTAAAATTTGTGTGAGAGTATATTTCATAAATATAAGCCATTTTAGATGAAAAGAAAGTGGATGTCTGATTATAAAAGAGAGGTTGAGTCAGAAAATATTCCCAGTACAAGTAGTGAACCTCAAGAGCAAATAGAAGAAACAACTTGTGATGAGCCTGTATTAGAGAAGGTAAACTTATATGATTATTACGCCAATGCTGTAAGGGTTAATGTGAATTATTGTTTTGTATATGTATTGCTGTTGTTTCTAATCTAAAAAGTAGCTGTGCAATGTGAATTACAATGCCAAAATTGTTTAAAACTTGAAAAAGAGAAACGTCGTTACAGGAACTTATGGCTTGTTTTAAAGCATAAGCTTTAGTTTAGCTGAACTTATGCAAGCAGTTCTAAAATGGATATGCTTGCAGTGGGTAAGTGTTTTTTAAGATGATGGGCCTGTTAATTTTATTTCATGTATGATTCTAGGTCAAGAGAAGATTTGCCAACATAATAGGATCAGCCATGTTTAATAACCTCAATTTCTACAATACTACCAAGTAAGCTTACATGCACCCCCAGAAAATTATTGAAGTTAATTACTAAGAAATATGGATTTAATCAACCTTGTGTAGCTGCCCATTACTGAAGTATCTTATTTCATAGATTAGTAGGACAACAACAGCAGCAATAAAGAATCATCAAATAGTAGCAAAGTGGTTGATCTTGATAGTTGTCCTGCTGAGGAGGTTTTGGACGCAAATGATCTTAGTGGTGACTCAGACTCAGAGAGTGATCTTGGTGCTGAACAAAGTTATGAGACTGAGACAGAAGAGATAATCACATCTAGTGACAAGGATGTTGACTCTGAATCAGAGCAGCCAAGAACATTTAAAAGGTAACAATTTTTGGATGAGAACTGTCATTTATCAATCACCATTACAATGTTAAAATAGTGGTGATTGTTAAATAAATCAAAGTTAAACAGCTTATTTAATCAGTCACTACCTTGATGATACAAAAAGTGTGTGCCAGTATGTAATTGTATTTATTGATAGCTACTATTGCATTTCATAAATTGAGTTTTTTTCTTTTGTAGAGTGCTCAACAAAGACACACACCTAAGAACAGAAAAAAATTCATTGTGTTCTTCACCCAACTGTTTGCAATTTTTAAATTTTGCCCAATTTGCAAATCAGACGATGTTCTTGTTGAGTTATTGCAAAATGGTTCAATGGCAAAAGTGAAAGTTAGTTGTTCCAATCAAAAATGTGGAGCAGACACACATGGAATAATTAACCAGTCATGATTGGGATTTCCATTCCTGCTGGAAATTTGCTATTGTCATTTGGTATTGTGACTGCTAGAACCTCTGCGACAAAGGTGATCAGAGTTCTACAGCACATGGGATTGGGATGCATTTCATTGAGTACATACTTCTCTCAACAGTGTGTAAGTAAGACTTATCCGATAGTGTAAAAGAAAGATGTAAAGAAATTACTACAATCAAATGAAAAGCTTGAAAGTCTTTTTAAAATTTTGTGTAGGAAAAACTGTATCCTGCATTGGTGATCTACTGGAAAAAATACGAAGAGAGTTTGATAGAGAAAGTGATGGCATGTAAACAGCCAATTGCAATTGCTGGGGGTGGAAGACACGATTTCATGGGACATAGTGCTAAATATTGTGCATATACAACATTCTGTTGCACAGTACCTCAAACCATTAGTTTTTCACTTGTGCAGGTACATTTCTTTGAATTATGTGATTTTCTTCTTCAAAATTATTTACCTATTTGCTATTTTGTAGAGAAATTAAGTTGGAAATAGCACTGGTATGGAGTTTGAGGGATTTAAAAGATCAATGGATTTTTTTAAATCTCGCAATATTCCAATCTTCATGTTAATTGCCAAACATATGAGAGAGAATTGTCCAAGTATTACCTTCTACTTTGACCTTTGGCATTTGAATAAAAGTAATGATTTTTTTTAGTTAATGAAACAGTACTTTATAAAGCAAAAATTGAACATATAGCTAGTATAAAATTTACTACTTTTACTGGCATCAATAGTTGAAGTGTTTATCTAAAACATATTTTATATTTCATCTTAGAAGTGACCAAACTCCTGACCAAACTTGCAGCATGTGCTGGATGTGAGTCTTTATCAAGCTGTATAAGACCTTATTCCAACCATTTGTACTGGAGTGCTACATCAACATCCTCTTGGTCATGTCAAAAACCAACACAATGGATTTTCAGACCCTTTATTTGACAAATGTGCTCAGGATTCCAACATAAAACCATGCAAATGGCTAAATGAAGATAAAAAATCTTAAACAATTCTTGTTGCTATCAAAAGAAATATTCTCTGTATAATAATCTTTTATTCATTGCCTTGTCTGTACATTCTATATCATACAATAAGATGTTTGCAGCTTTAAGCTTTAACTGGAGTTTCCCAAGTTAAAGTGCATAATTCAAAATTTAAAAATGGTGAAGCTGTTGTAAGAAATGTAAAAGTTGCTCAGGATTTTGGTAAGGTTGTTTAATATATTTCTCCTACTGCCTGATATCATGTGTTAAATGCCATAATAGTCAAAGCCATAATAAGAAATGATTACCATAAAATAGAATTTTGAATAATTTGCACATTGCTCCTCCAGGGTATGTTGAAGATATATATCAAGTTTTGAAAAAATGGGGAAACATTGACAAAAAGCCAAAGATGATCTATTACGAATGACGCCATTGCCAATGAATTCCATGTTGGACAAGCAATCAAAAAGTGAAGCTATCTCAAAAAAGCAAGAAGACAAAGCATGCCAGCTGTACATGTACCCCCAACTAAGCCACGTTTTACAAAAAGGCATTTTTTGCTTTGAGTGAATTTGAATCTTGTTTTTGAAACTGACTCACTTTATTGTTTGATATAGCTGAAGTATCACCTGTCCAAGAAAAAATCACTGATCAGAGAAATGACAAGGCAGCACCTTGATGCACTGTGTGCAAGAATTGAATGAAAGGCCATATAATTATAATTAACTGTCCAAAAAACCAAAAGTAACCACTTTTTTAAGAGCTGGTGGTATGAGCCCAGTTAGTTGGGATTCAGGGAAGTGTAAAATGACTGCATGGAAAGAATAAAATAAAAAAGGAATTGTAATTTTGCATCTTTTGTATAACAAGAATAAGTGTGAATTGAAGATGCAATACATCAAGAGTAGCTAAAATCATTCCACACCTCACTGAATCCCTACTAGCTGGGCTCATGCACGCAACACCTAAAATGATATATAATGTTATGTCATTTTACAATTGTCCTCTTCATACCCTGCAAAGTGTTCATTTTTTTTTAAATTAAAAGTTGTTCGAATAACATGGTAAGCACAAGCCTGAATTGTTTTGTCTCAAAGAATGCAATGTACCAATCTTGCAAATTGCCTATATGCAACAACTTGAAAAAAACGGGAAAGGCATAATACACAAGGTGCATTAAAACAGGTAGGAGTCCATAAAATACAAATTTTGCAAGTGTGCAATCATAGATAACCCAGACAGAAGCATTTAACTGTTAATTCTAACAAACCTTTGCTCCAAGAATCCTTTACAATATCTAACTGCATCTCGTCTTTGGTAAAGATTGGCAGCTAAATTTTATGCCCATCGATTGAGGCAAATGGCATCAAATCCTGGATGCTCTGTGATGCATTTTGGCTGCCTTCCTAATTCATATACCACCATATGATCTTGCATTTCAACCATGCAATTGATAAATTCGTGGCAACATCTACATTCTTTTGGATTAACCAAGAGAGGAACACGGCAGTTATCACAATTGCACCTAAGAAAGTTATCTGTCAAAAGCTTCGGCTACAGTAAATAAACAAATTTTCCAACTTTTCTAACCAAGAATCAAGAGGAACTTCATTTTGCATTCTGCGTTCGAGCTCTTCTGTTTGGCGTCTTTCTTCTTCTGTCTCTCTATTATAGTTTTCTAACCACTCATCATCAGCAAGTGGTTCGCCAAGCTGCAACTTGGCCGTACTCAAAATCGCCATCGGTGTTTCGGAGCGCATTTGATGACGATTGATCTTCGTCTTGTAAATCGAATTCCCGCCTGTTCAATTCAATATTTTCCACTGTTGTTGCTGTACTCGACTCAGAATCGGATGTCGACATGTTTCGTACAATTTTTATATTAATTTCAAAGCAATATATAAAGAATTGTTATTTCACACTATGATGTTTTGTATGCAGCGCATTCATACGTTCCTTAAATGACGTCACAAACCTCTCGTCTTAAGTCCTCTCAGAGGCGCGGAAATTTCTAAAAAGCAAGCTAATTCAAATTGCAAAAAACCTGCTTTTTTTACGAAGTTTTCTTCAAAATCATATTTTCCATAGTCTAAACTTTAAAAGCTCAACGAATTTGGAAAGGCTGTATGTGCACTTTACATGTTCATCACACTTTAAGCAGTCATTAGCATGATCAGGTGAAAAAATAGGAAAAAAGTATGGCAATCTGCTCTTCATTTCAAAGAACGAAAAATATATGTTTGAGTTTAGTTTATAATGATGAAGATCAAAATACCAAGAAATATCATATATTGATAATGTAGTAAGACAAAGTTTGACTAAATGGCATATATAGTGCGACAAGCAGTACGATAAAGTAATGCTTTTTACGTTTTAAAAAAGATTTTAAGAGGAAAGTCCAAAAGTTACAGTCTCGCTGCAGTCTTTGTGGAACAATTTAATAGCGTGTTTATGTTAACACGTTTAATTATTGCTAATAGGAATATCAACATGTTATATGATTGTGGATGTAGATCGTCCAGGTCAGTGTAGTCCTGAGAAGGACAGTTGGTGTTGATGTTGACTGACGTTTCGACAAACTTAGCGGTAGTCAGCTTTAGAGTTATTGCTGTATTCATATGTCTGGTTCATACGTCATCGTATTATGTGTACAGGAAAAGTGTGAGTGTCAACCGAGTATTGTCTTCGTGGTTAGTCTAGAGTAATGCAAAACATGTATGGTATCTATTTCCCTAAACAATTTGTGAAACTCATGATAGTTAAAAAAATTTTCTGCGAGATCTTCCATTTCTGCATTGGTTGAAAGAAGTTTCATAAATTTACTTAACGAATGTACGTACTATCATAGTCATTCATCTATATCTTATGATTTTTAAAACAACTTGACGCGATAAACCAAATCCATGAACGGTTTTTCTGGGGCATCATTCGTCAATAGATAAGATGTATGAGTTTTTAAGATTTAAGATTTATAAGATTTAAGAGATTTAAGATTTAAGAGTACATGATAATTTGTTAAGAGCATCAACAGGACTTAACTATCATTCTGCTTATTGTATCCTCAGCATGTGTATGTGGCTGCAAAGGTTTGCTAAGTTTCAGAACGCTTTTTCAGAAGAATCGAAACTTCTACTTCCTTTATTTGCCTAAAATTATTGCACTAAGCAAAAGGTCATCAAAAGATCGATAAAAGATTGATAACCGTTGTTGCTAGCAAAACTGAAATCAATTCGTTGCTTTCTAGCATCAGTTGAGAGAGTTGATGGCAATGAATGTGTGAAGTTGGGCTTAATTCTCTGGCATTAAATATTAAGTGAGGAGGTATATAGGAAATATTTCACTCAAAATAAGCGATTGAAGAAAAAGGGGGTTCTGTTCACAATACAAATTATTCGTTGATTTATGTTTTTGTTGCTGGTATGTACGTCGTATTGTAGACTTTTAAAGCTAAATCAAAATAAAAACGGCTCCAATTTCGAGTTTATCACACCTATGTAGTGTGGAAGATGCTTTAATGAAATTTTTAAAAATATGTAGATTGTTTTATTTACAACATCTTCGTTTAATCACTCAAAAATATTCCACATTTTTCAAGTCATTAAAATGACTTTATTTCTCATAGAAATTTGATTAATTAAAATTCAGTGATGTTTGCAAAAAAGCGCTCGTTCCAGGCACTTATATACAAATAAATTCCATCCAGTCTATCGATTGGTTGAATTTTATTCTTTGTAATTGTATTACCAATGATGTCGGTATAGAAGTATTTTAAATTTCAAATTAGCGGCCAAAATTTATTTTGTCTCAGCTAGGATCTGCCACTTGTTCATTATTCCGTTCAAGTCGAAGACAACAGTGCTACGTACAAGTTCTTCAAAATTTTCTGTTGTCCACTTCTCCTTAAGGTTAAAACGACATTTAATTTCAACTAAATGATGAAAGTTGCTGCACCAGTTACGTTATGTTGGGTCATGGCTTTGTGCGTGTATTTGGCTGAATGTAATGAGGAAATTCAAGATGAAACTGTACGTATTCAATGCTAACACTAGTAGGTTATGGTGTGTTTTTCAATTTGCAAATCATAAACGGAATAACAGTCAACTAAGTTTATAACTTCAAAACTAAAGTGTCTTGATTGTTAAAATTCGTATAAGTGTGCACGTATTCTTCTTTAAAATAAAATACACTACATCATTTGTTTAAGTGTTGGCTTTAAGAAATTGACTAGTTGTAGAAATTTTTGTTATCTCGTAGAATTACTACAAATGCAATCATTTCTTGCAATACGCTGGAATGAAATTTAAAATAATTGGTAAAAATCGTAAGAGATGCACCGCTGGGAGATGGGTGTTCTCATTTATAGCTTTCGATTCTCAATGTATTTTTTACAGTACTATATTTTTTTACGATGCACTATGTTTCATTAATAAAAATATTTCAAGTTTGAAATCATTCACTTTTCGTAGTCGTGAATGAGAAAGTTGTACGATTATAGAGTGCTATTCTGCTCTAATTATTTCAACGCCTTTAGAAATGTTACAAATTTGGGCAACCGTCTCAGCACAAACAATCAACGTCATAAAAAGCCCCCACCAATTTAACTAGCATATTTCCGCCTAAAATTAGGTGCATGATTGTTCCTTTCAGCAATATACTTGCATGAGGAAGATAACAACATCGATAATTGTAACGAATGTTTGGATTCTTGCATGCAAAATAAATACTGTTTTTTTAAAGATATACCAAGAAGATTTGTATACATGAATCAGAAACGGATATACCAAAGTATAATCCATATAATTCAAACCACAAAAGGTTTTTATGTATATAATTGCCTTAATCGCATCAGTTGTTTCGAAACGTAAAACGCAAGCATTAAACACAATGCGATCGTCCTATTCATCTGGATGAGACTCTGCTCAAAGAATGAGACTACCAAACTATATTACACTGGACTCTGCAATATTATTGACAAAAACTTGTTGAAACTGAAAATTGACTAGTAGATATTGTATATTACAATAAAAAGTTCTCTGTAATATATATAATTCATAAGCCGCAAAATATTTCAACAAAAACACCCACAAATTTTCTCGTTTGAACTTTTACAAATTTTTGTTTTATACGGTGCCTAGATCTGTTATTGTCCGTTATGTAATAGTCCTCCGACTTCAATCAAATATTTATGTTTAAATGTCTCGTAAAACACTATCGAGCTGCAGACAAAAGGAACTATAAGGAAGTCAACCACAGAGAAAGGAATCAAATATGTAAATATTATAAATTGTAAGGCAGCTTAATTCTCCTCCATAGTATGTAGTGATCAAACAAAATTACATTTTTGTGAAGACAACAAATATTAAATTATGTAATCACAACACGTATAACAACAATTTTTATAAGTTAAACGAATGCATTATTATAATCACCAATTCATCTAACTTTCAATAAACATGTATGTTTTGCACTCATTTTATATGTAACCGTTAATGTTCATCACTATAAGGTATCATAAATTCTAGATCTGTGTATGACGTAACAAGCTGTCAAGCTGTACAATTGAGAATGGTAAAATAATGCATGATTGCCGTAAATGTTGCTATTGAGTATCCTCCATGACTTGAGTTGCGCTTAATATGTCAGTGCACTTTACATCAGAATTTTCAGATACTTTATTTCAATGATATTTTCAGGTGTATAATAAAGATAAATGGTGTAAATTGTCTCTTAAAATAATCATGTGATCTTTATATTGTAATTCATTACTGCTATCCTGACACGGTTAGCAGGTCGAAACAAAGTACATCATAAATAATTGACTATTCGGAAAAAATATGCAAATTGAGCGTGGATTCGAGACAAGCGGAAGTTCAATCGTTGCGAAAAACTTTCAGGTTGTTAAAAAGCTACCACGAGCATGGACCTTTTTTTTCGTTATTTGTTAAATCTTATGAGCAAAAAATCTTAATTAAAAAAATTATTAAGCTAGAACGAAAAAGTATTAAGCGAGAACGAAACTAAATTCAGACAGTCATTAAACATTATTTTCATGTGTTAACAGAGAATGCGAGAGCCTAGAGCTATTTCTAAGAAGGTTAATTCATGCACATCCTGTTGTGCTGCACCTGGAATTCCTGGTGCACCCGGAACTCCTGGTGTCCATGGGGTCCCAGGCACAAGAGGCTCTGACGGAAGAGATGGGAGGCCAGGAATCAGAGGACCATCTGGGCCGAAGGGTGACAAAGGAATCCAAGGTAGTCTAGGAAGGACTGGTGCAAAAGGGTAAAAAAGGTGAGGCTGGTAAAGTAGGTGCTCCAGGAAATAATTTTGAATCCAACTGGAAGCAATGCACATGGAAAGAAAATAATGATCTTGATAATGGACTTATAAAGGTAAATACTTGTATTATTATTAAAAAAACAGTTGAACAATTAGTAAACAATGAAGACACTTGAAAATGTAATTTTTATTCTATGAAACTTTAATTTTGCTTCTCTCTTAGCTAGACTACCTATTTACTTTTATCTAAAGCAAAACCAAATAATCATTTATGTAAATGTGAGCCCACAATAACTAAAAGTGTATGAAATCGAAACCAAAATATTGCGCCAAAGTTGTGCTAATTTGTCCTAGTTTAAGTTAATTTGCTTTGTTATTTGTCATAGTTTATGTTGTTTTCCGTTAAGAGTTAAAGTGTGTTGTATTTGTTCTTGTATATAGGTAGATGTTTGAGTAAATGTGATTGAAGAATCTTAGAAATGAACAAGAATTTGATAAAGTCTTTATTTATAAATTTTTATTGATCAAATCTTGAAGTATGTCATACTAGTGTAATATAAATCCATCGCTTAAATTCCTGTCGAAAACGTTTAAGGAAAAATATAGCCGTTTACAAATTTGATATTGTTATAACCCGGTTTCTCGAGTGTAATTAGACCGGCTCTTTCATGCACCATCCCCAAAAGCTCATTGAGTTCCTAGAATATTTATGTATCAAGCGTAAAAAGCATACAAAAAAGCAACGTGAAATGAGAATAATGTCAGTATCAAAAATTATTAGAAATTAGAGGACTAGAAAACGTCACAGATTGTTCTTTTCATATTTTAATGGCAAAAAAAGTTGTAATTTAGCTGGCTATTTCTACGACGAGTTTTTATGGCTTGCATTAATTGTTAAAAAGTTAGACAAATTTACTGTTAAAACATTACTTAACTTATGTTCTCTAGTCTCTACGAACATTTAGATGAAATGAGAACTTTCTATAAAACCTGTCATCTCGCACGTCAAACAGAATCCCCAGCATTTCACTCAACCAGTTGTAATTCATTACTGGGAGTGCTTAAGTAGTTGAACTTTACGCATGCGTGCTTACAATGTATACATAACTATTTCTGCTTGCTTGATGTATTCTAGATATGCAGTTTCAAGAAAAAACGTGACAATACTTATCTTCGCGTGTTCTACGCTGGCAACCTCCGTATTCAAAACTGCGACGGGTGTTGTAAGCGATGGTATTTCAAATTCAATGGAAAAGAATGTAATCCTACAATTGAAGGTGTTTATTTCATATGGAAAGGTAAAGGAACACAGAGTATCCATCGTCATCGTCAGATAGAGGGATATTGTGGCAACATCGATAAGGCTACTGTTAATGTTGGTTTCTATGTCGGTAATTTTCAGGGATATTCCAATGCAGATGCCTCCAGTGGATGGAATTCAGTCTCTCGAATTGTGATCCAAAGTTCAGCCCCTCAGAGTTGAATCAATACAAAACTGACGACTGAACTTTATTTGCTCAACTTTTGTATTTTATTGTTTTATGGTATTTAAAGCTTAACGTTCAGAAGCTGTTATCTCAACTGTTTTAGTAAATGTTAAAAACCTTCAATCCTTTCATGCATGCTCGATTCCCTATATCTTTAAAAAACAACAAAAATGTTTTTCAGTGTATCAATAATTTGTGCAATTATTTTTGTTGTTCATGGCTATTGTTGTTCATTGACTACGTCAAACTTTCTTGAACACATTTGTTTACTTCTTTTATATGTACTATATAATACTAATTTCCAAATCAACATTACCCTCTACTGTCTTTATCATCTACTATATCCTTCTCTGCTTCTTGTAACCTTATTAATCCTGTTGGATATCTCTATCATTACTTCTGTGTGATATCACTTGATAAAACATGAAATCTTTCTTTTTCTTGAAGTAATATTCATTAGTCTATTTCTAGCACATTCTTCCATCTCTCTTTAGTGGTATGTAAACTTGCTTCTTACAATTATTTTTGTTTGTTTGTGTCCTCGGTTTGAAATTTGTTCATTATCTTCTTATTAGTAATCTACAAGTCTACCGAGTACTACATCTACCTCAATTCTTGATTTCTTCTTATTGTCTAATTTACATCTTACTTATAGAGCATAACCATATTTATTATGAAGATACGCAGTACCTTCAATTTCCAACTTTAAACACATGAATCTATTTGAATTGTTTTGTATATTTAAAATACGGTTATAGGAAAACTCTTTCCTTTAAAGAAAGTCTTAAATTTCTATGCTCTTCCCAACGACTTCAAAATACACCCCTTGGTTATATGTTTCCCATCTTCAAGGCTTGCAAGTTTTATATCTGGTCTCTTGTGCTCACGAGATGTCTATACCAAAAACTTTTTCCAACCAAAGTCCTATCATTATATTCTTGTTACCAGTTCAAAAATCTTGTATTTCTTCTTACCTCTTAATAAATACATAGGCCATCCCTCTCTTCTTTTTGATTTACATCAGTTCAATTTCTTTCAACCCTCAACAGCTACATTTATGGTAGTCATTGTTTTCCAAGGCCAAAACAAATCCGGTATGAAAGCACTATAAGGCGATAGCAAAATTGATAAGACAGTACTTTACCAATTTCAACGGGGCTGGAAATTGGAACCTAGGAAACACTTTCCTAAGCAAACCGTTACCTGCATTTTTGATCATATTTACCCAGAGCAGCAGGGCCGAAGACAAAACTTTAATTGTGGGGCGGGGGGGAAACATTTGTGCACAAATAATTTTTTTTAAGTAATTTGGTTTCTATAGAAATCAGTCGAGTACAACTGAATATACGAAGAGACACCCATCCGCTCTAGCTGTAGCCTTAACTGCAGTCCTTATATATTTTGTGGCCAAAATACGAGGTAACGATGATTACGGCTTTAGACCTCCTTGTCAATGTCAATGTTAATATCTATACACTCTGTTGTTCAGAATCGTACGTTTGACAGTAAAGATATATACATTTATATCATTGATGCTTACTAGATGATTGTTCGAATATCTTGCTGGTAACATAAGCCCGGATTTGTTGAAGCTTATATTGGGCGTGAGGAAATATTTTTGTGCTAAATATTTTGATTTGTGATATAATTGATTTCGAAATGCCTTTTTAAGTTGCAGTACATTGATATACACCCAAAGTTTATTGAAGTGGCGTATCTTATTTTAATATTTTGGTCAAAAACATAATACAGGTTACCATGATTGAATTAGTTTACAGGTTCAAGAGAAATTAAGTATACCAGGAATAGATTATCTAAATCATGGTTACATTGAAAACCCAGTGTAAAACTTCTCTTCCCGGCAGTTCTGCATGCGTAGAATGCATATAAAGGAAAGTTTTACCAAAGGATAATAAAGTGATTTTTGGAGGCTCCATTATCAAAAGTTTAAAAAATTATTCACATATCATGGGGTTATACAACGAAACAGCCAATGAACACTTTTTTCAATTTGTTTTGAAATAAGATTAAACAACTATTAAAAGATAGGAAACGAGTTTTAAATAGAAGAAAAGTTCCACTCAGATGAAAAACAAAAATGATGTCGTAAGTGACGCTCCATTATTCATTGCCTTGTCTTTAGATTCTATATCATACAATAAGATGTATGCAGCTTTAACTAAACCAAGGTTGATTGCTGGAATCATGAAAGCTTCTCCAATGTCTCAAGCAAGTGCATTGGAGGGATTTCACTCAGTTCTTAACCAGTTTGCACCCAAAATTATCAGCTACTCTTTTCCTAGAATGCTCTGCAGGTATTCTATGAAACATGTGTGATGAAACACCTAAACACCTATGTGTCATTACAGTTTTTATTCCCTTCTGCCAATTTAAACTCTTTCAAGAAATTGAATGCAATATTTATTTCATGAAGGCATATCCTTGCTGTAACTCATTTCAACAGCAATTTGGACAGGGATAATCAAGAGGTTAATGGTAGTTACCCAGGTTAAAGTTCATTATCCAAAATTTAAAAATGGTGAAGCTGTTGTAAGAAATGTAAAAGTTGCTTAGGATTTTGCTAAGGTTGTTAATATATTTCTCCTACTGCCTGATACCATGTGTTAAATGCCATAATAGTCAAAGCTTAATAAGAAATGAGTACCATAAAATAAAAGTTTGAATAATTTGCACATTGCTCCTCCAGGGTATGTTGAAGATATATATCAAGTGTTGTGCTCTGCACTCATTGATGAGGAAACATTGAAAAAAGCCAAAGATGATCTATTACGAATGACTCCATGGCCAATGATTTCCATGTTGGACAAGCAATCAAAAAGTGAAGCTATCTCAAAAAAAGCAACAAGACAAAGCACGCCAGCTGTACATATTCCCCCAACAAAGCCAGGTTTTACAAGTCTTGCTTTGAGTTAATTTGAATCTTATTTTTGGAACTGACTCACTTTATTGTTTGATATAGCAGAAGTATCACCTGATCAGAGAAATGAGAGGGCAGCACCTTGATGCACTGTGTGCAAGAATTGGATGAAAGGCCATAAAAATATAATTAACTGTCCAAAAAACCAAAAGTAACCACTTTTTTAGGAGCTGGTAGTATGAGCCCAGTTAGTTGGGATTCAGTGAAGTGTGAAATGACTGCATGGAAAGAATAAAAAGAAAAGGAATTGTAATTTTTTATGTTTTGTATAACAAGTATAAGTGTGAATCGAAGATGCAATACATATCAGTGGCTAAAATCATTCCACACTTCACTGAATCCCTACTAGCTGGCTCATGCACACAACACCTAAAATGATATATAATGTTATGTTATTTTACAAATTGTCCTCTTCATATCCTGGAAAGTGTTCATTTTTTTAAATTAAAAGTTGTCTCGAAGAATGCAATGTACCATTCTTGTAAATTGTGTATATGCAACAACTCGAAAAAACCTGAAAAGGCATAATACACAGGGTCCATTAAAACAGGTAGGAGTCCATAAAATACAAATTTTGCAAGTGTGCATTCATAGATAACCCAGACAGAAGCTTTTAACTGTTAATTTTAACAAACCTTTGCTCCAAGAATTCTTTACAATATCTAACTCCATCTCGTCTTTGGTAAAGATAGGCAGCTAAATTTTATCCCATCGATTGAGGCAAATGGAATCAAATTATGGATGCTCTGTGATGCATTTTGGCTGCCTTCCTAATTCGGATACCACCACATGATCTTCCATTTCAATCATGCAATTGATAAATTCGTGGCAACATCTACATTCTTTTGGATTAACCAAGAGAGGAACTCGGCAGTTACCACAATTGCACCTAAGAAAGTTATCTGTCAAAAGCTTCGGCAACAATAAACAAATTTTCCAACTTTTCTTACCAAGAATCAAGAGGAACTCGTTTTGCACTCTGCGTTCGAGCTCTTCTGTTTGGCGTCTTTCTTCTTCTGTCTCTCTATTATACTTTTCACTCATCATCTGCAAGTGGTTCGTTTTCATACGCTGCAACTTGGCCGTACTCAAAATCGCCATAGGTGTTTCGGAGCACATTTGATGACGATCGATCTTCGTCTTCTAAATCGAATTCGTGTCTGTTCAATTCAATATTTTTCGCTGTTGTTGCTGTACTAGACTCAGAATCGGATGTCGACATGTTTCGTACAATTTTTATATTAATTTCAAAGCAATATATAAAGAAATGTTATTTCACACTGTGTTGTTTTGTATGCAGCGCATTCATACGTTCCTTAAATGACGTCACAAACCTCTCGTCTTAAGTCCTCTCAGAGGCGCGGAAATTCTAAAAAGCAAGCTAATTCAAACTGCAAAAAACCTGCTTTTTTTACGAAGTTTTCTTCAAAATCATATTTTCCATAGTCTAAACTTTAAAAGTTCAACGAATTTGGAAAGGCTGTATGTGCACTTTACATGTTCATCACACTTTAAGCAGTCATTAGCATGATCATATGAAAAAATACGAAAAAGTATGGCAATCTGCTCTTCATTTCAAAGAACGAAAAATATATGTTTGAGTTTAGTTTATAATGATGAAGATCAAAATACCAAGAAATATCATATATTGATAATGTAGTAAGACAAAGTTTGACTAAATGGCATATATAGTGGGACAGCAGTACGATAAAGTAATGCTTTTTACGTTTTAAAAAAGATTTTAAGAGGAAAGTCCAAAAGTTACAGTCTCGCTGCAGTCTTTGTGGAACAATTTAATAGCGTGTTTATGTTAACACGTTTAATTATTGCTAATAGGAATATCAACATGTTATATGATTGTGGATGTAGATCGTCCAGGTCAGTGTAGTCCTGAGAAGGACAGTTGGTGTTGATGTTGACTGACGTTTCGACAAACTTAGCGGTAGTCAGCTTTAGAGTTATTGCTGTATTCATATGTCTGGTTCATACGTCATCGTATTATGTGTACAGGAAAAGTGTGAGTGTCAACCGAGTATTGTCTTCGTGGTTAGTCTAGAGTAATGCAAAACATGTATGGTATCTATTTCCTAAACAATTTGTGAAACTCATGATAGTTAAAAAATTTTCTGCGAGATCTTCCATTTCTGCATTGGTTGAAAGAAGTTTCATAAATTTACTTAACGAATGTACGTACTATCATAGTCATTCATCTATATCTTATGATTTTTAAAACAACTTGACGCGATAAACCAAATCCATGAACGGTTTTTCTGGGGCATCATTCGTCAATAGATAAGATGTATGAGTTTTTAAGATTTAAGATTTATAAGATTTAAGAGATTTAAGATTTAAGAGTACATGATAATTTGTTAAGAGCATCAACAGGACTTAACTATCATTCTGCTTATTGTATCCTCAGCATGTGTATGTGGCTGCAAAGGTTTGCTAAGTTTCAGAACGCTTTTTCAGAAGAATCGAAACTTCTACTTCCTTTATTTGCCTAAAATTATTGCACTAAGCAAAAGGTCATCAAAAGATCGATAAAAGATTGATAACCGTTGTTGCTAGCAAAACTGAAATCAATTCGTTGCTTTCCTAGCATCAGTTGAGAGAGTTGATGGCAATGAATGTGTGAAGTTGGGCTTAATTCTCTGGCATTAAATATTAAGTGAGGAGGTATATAGGAAATATTTCACTCAAAATAAGCGATTGAAGAAAAAGGGGGTTCTGTTCACAATACAAATTATTCGTTGATTTATGTTTTTGTTGCTGGTATGTACGTCGTATTGTAGACCTTTAAAGCTAAATCAAAATAAAAACGGCTCCAATTTCGAGTTTATCACACCTATGTAGTGTGGAAGATGCTTTAATGAAATTTTTAAAAATATGTAGATTGTTTTATTTACAACATCTTCGTTTAATCACTCAAAAATATTCCACATTTTTCAAGTCATTAAAATGACTTTATTTCTCATAGAAATTTGATTAATTAAAATTCAGTGATGTTTGCAAAAAAGCGCTCGTTCCAGGCACTTATATACAAATAAATTCCATCCAGTCTATCGATTGGTTGAATTTTATTCTTTGTAATTGTATTACCAATGATGTCGGTATAGAAGTATTTTAAATTTCAAATTAGCGGCCAAAATTTATTTTGTCTCAGCTAGGATCTGCCACTTGTTCATTATTCCGTTCAAGTCGAAGACAACAGTGCTACGTACAAGTTCTTCAAAATTTTCTGTTGTCCACTTCTCCTTAAGGTTAAAACGACATTTAATTTCAACTAAATGATGAAAGTTGCTGCACCAGTTACGTTATGTTGGGTCATGGCTTTGTGCGTGTATTTGGCTGAATGTAATGAGGAAATTCAAGATGAAACTGTACGTATTCAATGCTAACACTAGTAGGTTATGGTGTGTTTTTCAATTTGCAAATCATAAACGGAATAACAGTCAACTAAGTTTATAACTTCAAAACTAAAGTGTCTTGATTGTTAAAATTCGTATAAGTGTGCACGTATTCTTCTTTAAAATAAGATACACTACATCATTTGTTTAAGTGTTGGCTTTGAGACATTGACTAGTTGTAGAAATTTTTGTTATCTCGTAGAAGTACTACAAATGCAATCATTTCTTGCAATACGCTGGAATGAAATTTAAAATAATTGGTAAAAATCGTAAGAGATGCACCGCTGGGAGATGGGTGTTCTCATTTACAGCTTTCGATTCTCAATGTATTTTTTACAGTACTATATTTTTTTACGATGCACTATGTTTCATTAATAAAAATATTTCAAGTTTGAAATCATTCACTTTTCGTAGTCGTGAATGAGAAAGTTGTAATTATAGAGTGCTATTCTGCTCTAATTATTTCAACGCCTTTAGAAATGTTACAAATTTGGGCAACCGTCTCAGCACAAACAATCAACGTCATAAAAAGCCCCCACCAATTTAACTAGCATATTTCCGCCTAAAATTAGGTGCATGATTGTTCCTTTCAGCAATATACTTGCATGAGGAAGATAACAACATCGATAATTGTAACGAATGTTTGGATTCTTGCATGCAAAATAAATACTGTTTTTTTAAAGATATACCAAGAAGATTTGTATACATGAATCAGAAACGGATATACCAAAGTATAATCCATATAATTCAAACCACAAAAGGTTTTTATGTATATAATTGCCTTAATCGCATCAGTTGTTTCGAAACGTAAAACGCAAGCATTAAACACAAATGCGATCGTCCTATTCATCTGGATGAGACTCTGCTCAAAGAATGAGACTACCAAACTATATTACACTGGACTCTGCAATATTATTGACAAAAACTTGTTGAAACTGAAAATTGACTAGTAGATATTGTATATTACAATAAAAAGTTCTCTGTAATATATATAATTCATAAGCCGCAAAATATTTCAACAAAAACACCCACAAATTTTCTCGTTTGAACTTTTACAAATTTTTGTTTTATACGGTGCCTAGATCTGTTATTGTCCGTTATGTAATAGTCCTCCGACTTCAATCAAATATTTATGTTTAAATGTCTCGTAAAAACACTATCGAGCTGCTGCAGACAAAAGGAACTATAAGGAAGTCAACCACAGAGAAAGGAATCAAATATGTAAATATTATAAATTGTAAGGCAGCTTAATTCTCCTCCATAGTATGTAGTGATCAAACAAAATTACATTTTTGTGAAGACAACAAATATTAAATTATGTAATCACAACACGTATAACAACAATTTTTATAAGTTAAACGAATGCATTATTATAATCACCAATTCATCTAACTTTCAATAAACATGTATGTTTTGCA